GCCTTTATCCCTAAAGTCACTTTGTCCTTAGCAAAGACCGTGTGTGGAGGGCCCACTATTAGGGCTCCTAACTTGCCCACCCTCCTTGCTGACGCGATCGCCACCAGAAACAGCACCTTCGTTGTGAGGAGCAGGAGAGGGCATGTGGCCATGGGCTCAAAGGGGGGCCTCATAGGGATCTGCAGGACCAAATAGATCCCAAGAGGGCAGAGATGCTCTACGAGGTGGGAAGGCCCTTAAGGAATCTCTTCATCACGGGATGCACAAACTCAGATGACTCCTATGTGGGCGTGAAAGGCCGTAATGGCTGACAAGTGAACTTTTATAGAAGACACTGACAGGCCTTCAGTCTTTAAAGAGGATAAGTAGTCGAGTATCATATGGATTGATGTCTTGTCTGGACTGAGTTCTCTTTGGCAGCACCATGATGCGAAGCGTTTCCATTTTTCCTGGTAAGTTACTCCAGTGGCGTCTCCTGCTATGCATGAGGACGTTTCTGACTTGTTCTGAGTAGGTTACTTCTGCACCTCGAAACCAGACAGGAGCCAGGCATGGAGATGGAGGGTGTGTGGATCTGGGTGCAGTAGTCTGCCCATATTCTGGAAGAAGAGATTGCAGCAGTGAAGGAGCGGGTGTGGTAGTTCCATGGACATGTGTTGCAGATAAGGGTACCAGGTCTGTCTGGACCATGATGGGGCTACTAGGATGACCAGGCTGCTTCCAGATGGATTAGCGGTATTGGCAGGAAGGCATAGTAAATCGGTTCATCCCATGGGATTAGGAATGTGTCTCCCTTGGACCCCTTCCCCAGCCCTGTGTGGGAGCAAAAGCCAGGGCATTTTGCATTGCAAATAGGTCCGTTGTTGGATAGCCCCACCTGTGAAAAAATGGAGTCTAGCACCTGTGGGTGGAGTTCCCACCTGTGATCGATGGGTGGAGTTGCAGCTCAGAACGTCTGCCAGTGTTGTTCACCCCTGGTAAGTATGTTCCCTTTAATGTGACCCCACGTTGGATGCACCAGTTCCAGAGGCGGCCCGCCTCCGCACAGAGATCGGGAGTGTGCTCCTCCCTGTCTGTTTATACAAAACATGGAGGTTGTGTTCTCCGTAAGGACACGGACAGTTCTGTTGGTGATGGATGATGTGAAGTGCTTGCATGCATTCTTGACAGCCCTGAGCTCGGCAGGTTGATATGGAGTAGTGCCTCGTGTGGTAACCATTTGCCTTGCACTGTTTGTTGCTGCAGGTGTACTCCCCACCCATTAGTGAGGTGTGATTTGGACTGATGGTTCTGGTTGAAAGAAGGGCACCCCCTCGAGAAGATTGGTGGGAGATGTCCACCATTGGAGAGGTTCCAGGACCTGTCTGGGTATAAGGACAGTCTTTTGTAGAGAATGTATCCATGGTGTATAGACCAACATCAGTCAATGCTGCAGAGCTCGGAAATGTAGACGTGAATATTAGACCACATATGTGGTGGCCACCATGTGGCCCATGAGCTGAAGGCAGGTATGTACTGTCATGTTGGGGTTGACAAGTAGGGTGGTGATGAGGTCGCGTAGTGTCTCGAATCTCTACCGCAGCAGGTATGCCCTGGTTGATATTGAGTCAAGTCGCGCTCCTATGAATTCTAGATCTTGAACTGGATTGAGCGTCGACTTCTGCTCATTTATTAGTAAACCTAAGTGGTTGAACAGCTGTCTGGTCTTTAGTATTATCTCAATTTCTAGGTTGGAGTGTCCCTTTACTAGACAGTCGTCCAGATATGGAAAGATGACGCAGCCCTGACACCGAAGGTATGCTGCGACCACCACTAGGACCTTTGAGAAGACCCGCGGTGCTGAGGAAAGGCCGAAAGGTAGGACCTTGTATTGGAAATGTGCGTTTCCTACCGCGAATCTTAGGATGTATCGCAATGTGAAAATATGCATCTTGTAGGTCGAGGCCTGCGAACCAGCCCCCTCTGTCCAGCGCTGGTCTGATTGCAGACAGTGTGACCATCTTGAATCTCTACTTTCACAGAAACTTGTTTAGTTTGTGGAGGTCTAGGATTGGTCTCCAGCCTCCTGTAGGCTTCTGGGTCAGGAAATAAGTGGAGAACAACCCCTTTTCCCGGTATGATTCGGGTACCTCTTCTATAGCTCCTAGATGAAAAAGCCGATCAGTTTCTTGTTTGAGGGGTATCTCTCAAGATGGGTCCCTGAAGAGGGACGGGGTAGGGGAAAGGGTATGAGGGAGGGAGTTGAACGGAATCCAATATCCCATAGAGATAATTTCTATGGCCCACTGGTCAGATGTTATGGAGGCCCAGTGATGAAGGAATGGATGTAATCTGTGGTCAAATAGATGGTTCTGGTCTTGTTGCACTGGCTGGTTGGGGGGAGGTCGGGCATGCCCTCAACCAATGTTTCAAGTGTGCTGCTTCGGGGCCTGGCCACCAGAAGAACATGGTTGTTGTTTGCGGTTCCTCTGGGTGCACTGCCTGGCACGACTGCACTCTTATGGTCTGTACTGAGTACAGCTGTAGTACGAGTCCTTGTTTTTAATGTAGGGGGTGTAGCTCTTGCGCTTGTACGGTGGTGTGTGCATTCCCAGGGTACGCAAGGTGGTACACGTGTTTTTGCTGTTGTGCAGAATCTCATCCGTGTTGCCGGAAAAAAGCTTGTGCTTGTCAAAGGGGAGATCTTCTACCTTCGACTGCAGTTCTTTTGGCACCTCCGTGGCCTGAAGCCATGATGTTGTTCTCATCATGACTGCTGTAGCTGTTGTTCTCGCTGCTGTGTCCACAATGTCAATTGCAGACAGCAGTGCTGTATGGGCAATTCTGTGGCCCTCCCGTATGATTGCCCTGAGTATGGGCTTCTTGGTATCAGGCAGATGCTCCATCAAGTGTGCTAGTTTGGAGTAGTTGTCAAAGTCGGGATTTGCCAGATGTGCTGAGCAATTGGCTAACCTAAGCTGCAGGGTGACAGACGAGTAGACCTTCTTCCCAAATTGGTCTAGCCTCTTGCGCTCCTTGTCACCATTACTTGATCTAAGGTGAGGGGCCTTTGCCTGTTGGCTTGCTGCATAGACAACCAGTGAGTTTGGCCGAGGATGGGAGAAAAGAAAATCTAGATCTTTAGGTGGGACGAAATATTCCTTGTCCGCATTTTTGCAGGTCGGCTGAGCTGATGCAGGTGTTTGCCAGATGTCTTCTGACACCTCCATAGTTGCTATGGGCAACGCGATTCTGGCCTATGGTGCTGGGCAGATAATCTTCAGGAGATGATGCTGAGTCTCCTTCACCTCCTGAAGTTTCATTTCTTGTGATGTAGTGCTGCGTCTCCACCTCCTGAAGTTTCATTTCTTGTGATGTAGCAGCCCTCTTAAAAAGGTTCTGGAATTGTTTCAGGTCCGCTATCGTGTGTTCATCATCCGGGACTATCGCATCCTCTGGAGGGGAAGTGGGATTGTCTTGGGACTGTGCCAGCCGACTGTCATCTTGACCATCAGCTAATTGGCCTTCCTCCAACGCATGGGGAGGTGGGGCAGAAAAAAGTACAACAAACTGGCAGTTGAAGCGAATCCAATTCTGACTAGAAATCAGGTGCAAATGGTTAGCAGGGAGCGGCCAGCCACTGGAACCATCTGCCAAGGGGTCGTAACTGAGCCTCCATCACTGACCTTTTTAAGTCAAGAGAGCTCTGCGCTAGGAATGATACTGGGGAAGGTCTATGGCCTCTGTTATGCAGGAGGCTAAATTAAATGATCACAATGGCCCCTTCTGGCCTAGAATCTACAAACATCCTCCTCCTCCTCCTCCTCCTCCTCCAAACCCTTTAATGCGGTTTAACCAATTTATTCAAATTCACATCGTTAGGTTAATTCAGATTAACTTTCCTGGCTGGTTCAACTTCGACAAGCCCTCTTCAACTTCTGAACACGGACTTGCAACCCACGTGTTCTCTTCACAGTGGTGGCGCGGAATCGGGGGTGGGTAGAACACACGGGCTCTAACAAGTTACAGAAAACATCTCTGTTGGCAGCATTTTAAAATGCCACCCAACACCGCTCCAAGAACGAAGATACACTACATCGCCATGGCCAGGGGGCGACCAATGGTTCTTTCTCCAAGAGCCACCTCTGAATAGTCCAAGTGTGAAAGGCAACAAAGATTGAAGACTAAAAGAGCCCGTTAAAGGCCTCAGCAAACAGGCTGTTTTTGAATTTCAAACAAGGTCAGAAACTGTAACCCCTGGAAGGTGCCAGTCCAGGCCGGCTTTGGGCATATCAGGTCTCTGGATAAGTAGAGACAGAACTTCAGTTTCCAACCTGGGGACAGAGAAGAGGCTGAGTGAGAGAGAAGTGCAGTGTCTGTCTCCAGGAAATCTCAAAGCTTGGGAGATCCCTCACCCAGAGAGTACTTTAAGTCACTCACAAATCTTCTCAACTTGAAGAACCACAGAAAATCATTCTTAAGTGAAATGGAAAGAGGAAGAAAAATGCTAGTTTCACCGTTCCCTTCTTGCACACTAACAGAAAAAGCCGATGTCAAACTTCCACGTGTTTTCCACTAGATGGCACTTCTACAGAAAAGGACACCAACGAGACACCAGACCAGACACCTGCCTCTGAACACAGAGTTTAAGGGTCAGGTTCCTTGCTCACATTTACCACCTTAGCCAGGTCTCTGCAGCAGGCCCAATCATGCCGGAAACGGGAGCTAAGATTGCATGATTAAGTGAAGAGAGTCCGGAAATGCAGAGGTGAAGGGTCCAGCAGCGACACAGCACCTCGCAAACATCCTGTACCACAAGCACCAAGAAAAACCACAGGAACGGAGAGCAGCGTTCTCTGACGTCAATCGCTGCCGCGGTTCTCTCCCACCCTCGCAGTCCCTTCCCCGCCCAGACTCACGTGGGTCCGTCCCAAGTGGTTACTACATGACATGGGGCTGGGTGCTCTGCCAGGATCCTGTGCTAAGAGCAGCAGCTGGAATGGCCCTGCTCCAGCCCCCCCCCCTGACTGGGAGTTGCAGTGGCGGGTGCTGCTGCTGGCGCCTGCCTCTTCAATCATTTTCAGGATGATCCCCCCATGGACGTTGCCTGCGAGGTTTGCATCATCCTGGCGCATGATCCTGCAATGGAAGAAGATGCAAAAAATCTTACTTCAGTTCTCCTCCCACCTCCCCCGCCTGGAACCAGCCAGCCTGGGGAACACCCAGCTCCGCCCTTCGCGGCTAGTGCAACACCAGCCACGGTGCCTTCCCGGTGGGCGGAAGCGGTGCCACTAGCCAGCCCGCAAGTGGCCGATGTAACCGGAGACAAGACGATGGAGCGAAGTCATAGGCAGCAGATGGGGCGGCCAACATAGCTGCCCGTTAATTCACCTCCTGCTTCTTTCACAACTAACGCAGCGCTGGTGAAAGGGGCCGAGACGTCAGCCCCCTTCACACCAGTCCCGTTTGTCAGAGGCTCTGCAAGGGCTTTACAAGCTGTAACGACGCCTCGAAAACTGGCATGTTTGTCCAGTACAGGTTAGGGATGTTAACGATCGGTTAATTGAATAGCCGAGTCACCTCGGGAATTATCATCAGTCGCCTATTCTATAGTCCCGGGGGCGGGGCTGGCAGCAGTCCCTGTCTGCGGGGGGGGGGGGGGGGGAGCGGCCTGAGCACCCAGACCCAGCGGAAACCAGAACTGAGCTGGGCTGCCTGCCCACCCAGCTCCTAATACACTTTAAATGGAGACCCATAGCAGGGGTAGGCCCAGACCCGGCGTGAGCCAGAACTGAGCTCGGCTGCTGGCCAGCCTGCTGCTAAATGTACTGGCTGCAGAGGGGAGTGGGGAGGAGGTAAATGTGTGTAGTCTGTAGCATTAGCCTGTAAGCTTCTGCTTAGCGGTTACCGACTATACTATGACATCCCTAGTACAGTCCCCATTTCACAGAGGGGTCAATGAGGCTCAGGCCCGGGGGGGGGGGGGGGGCGATGACGAGGGC